GTATTTTCTTACTAATGAGGCTTAGTATTTAATTATAATAATAAACATTAGCTTATTTATGTAAGTTTACTTATACATAATCACTTTTTCGATATTATAATACTGAAATATGTTTGAATGAAAAATGGGATCAGTCAACTGTCCCAACCCTTAGGGTCACTTAAACCGGGACCTGGGGAGAGTTGTTCAATCAAACATGTTGGTCTTTCTTAACCTTTTGTTTAAATTATCTAATTTTGGTCACATTTATGACAAATGAAATCATCAATATCTTTAGAAATATAGTCAAAAAGTTTTAAATTTCTACATCTATAAAATAAAACTCCAAATATCCTCATACAGACACTATAGAGGGAGACACGAACCACTGAGCATTTCTCCTGCATCCACCATGGTGCAAGCCTCCCGCTTATACTATTTTGACATTAAATTTTACTCACAGAAAAAACAATCAATCTTAGCGAAACTTAGTACCCGTTAAACTACAATAATTAGGTAGTACAATAGTAATAACACACAATACGTACCTCTATAAACACGGCCGCAATCTCAAAACTACATGAATTAATAAAATTTACTTCGTCGTTACAAAAACACCTTTCCGAACCTGAGAGCCAAACAAACCGGCCATTGTCATAAATGGCGGCGTGCGGGTTATTGGCCTCTCGTGCTCTACCAATGACCATCTTGACGTTTCGTTAGCGCGAAATTTAAGTTGAGTTTTAAAAGGTGGTTCAACTGTCCCACCTAAGTCTCCTGGAGTCCCCCTATGTTTATTTGAAATCATTGCGAGATTATATGAATCAAATGCTCCTAACAAGGATCGTGATATCAGAATATGTAGCAAATACGAATTATAACATTTTATAAAATAGCGCAAAAAAATAGGTAATAGATAGAGGGAATGCCCCTAGCGGCGCACAGAATGTAGTACAGGACAAAACATTTGTGTAAACAAAGATGTCACACTTAACCAACGCTTCCGAGACACAGGAGGCGTTAGTCTTGTCTGATACTGGTTACAGGTGATTCCATTTTGAGTGATTAAAAAATATACAATATT